ATATAATACATATAGAATATATAATAGCATAATTATTTTTATATATAAAAATAGTAGTATAATAGAGTAACAAATAACAAAAAAAAACCCAATGCAGTAAGACGCTGTTCCTGTGTTTGCTACGGAGTAGGTAAGGAAAATTCCTCTGCGAGTGGGATATAGTTTTTAAAAGTATTTTGAAATGTTAGCATCTTTCTTTGAAAGCATCAAAGGGATACCACTGACTGATGTCACAGAAATTCCTTCAAGGCTACTCAGGCAATTCTAAATATATGAAGCTAAAAAAATTTACTACATTTGCTGTATTGGGACTGAAATATGTTAGTGAGATATTTTGCACTGAGGAAACCTGACCAAAGAACGCCACAGAGTCAGGTCGATAGCTGCCATCAGAAAGGTCAACGATTTTTAGCTGTTGCTGTTTATGACTGGTTTTAAAACAGGGATAGAGAATTTTTTCAATAACAAGCTCTTGCACTCTGCCTTGTCTTGAAGTGAAACATTGAGACCCATCGAGAGGTATGGAAATTGATTCAGCTGTGACCTTTTCTAAAACTCTCTCAGTCTGTGATGACCCCTTTAAATGGAAACATTTGCTCGCTCAGAAGGACTGGAACTGCTTTTTCAGGTGTGCCTACTGAGGTGTGCTTTTATATTTTTGACATTTTACTTGCTGTAGAATTTTTTTATCTTTAGAGGATGAATGGGGCTGATGCTTTGTCATATTTGTCAGTTTGACTCGCATCCCTCGCTCCTCTCTGAAGAGCAGTCACTCATGTGGCTCAGCCCTCATTTCTGTCAGAGCGACATTAGCCAAGTAGTCATTTTCCTGTTACTTTCCACAGCTAAATTCAAAGTAGGGGCAGATATAGCTTTTTTCCTTCATCCTCACAGACATCGCTTTGTAAAGTAAATGCTGAAAGTGAAAGGGTTCCTCACACACGTGCGCTGAAGCAGGATTATCGGTTAAGTGAACATGAATGCTGGGTTCTCCTACTGATGCCCTCATGCGTGGCTGGCACCGAGTGCTCCTTGCATGCAAGCAGATCAGGTAACCTACGCCTGGTGTTGCTCCCCAGCTGTACCTGGTGAGACAGGCTCTGGGAGGTGCTGACATCCACGTGAAGCAGAGCAACCCCTAGAGCTCTGGCAATCACCTGGTTTCGGGTAGGCAGCTTCCCGCTGACTCGGGTGGACAATCCCACTCATCGTGGCGGCAGATGTAGTGCCTGTGCAGAAGAAAGGTCAGGTCTGCCACTGACCAAAACTAAGCAGCCTTTGGTCGGCCGAAGCTGCTCCAGCAGATTCACCATCCAGATGAGTAATTGGGGAGGAGGGGAGGGAGGCGAAAGGGACGACTCAAAAATTTAAGCTTTGTCCCATGTATGTGTTACCAGCAGCCTACCTTGAAAGCCAGTGCTTGTTGTTGTGCTTAGCAACAATAGCCTCATTTCTGGAACATCATTTATATCTTGAGTTAACATCGATTTTTTTTTCCTTCCCTTGTAGAATCCTGTGCTTAATTTGTTTTTAAAATGTTGTACAGTAATTACTTTATTTAAATGAATCATCTGACAAACCGGTTCTCCATCAAACTTGTCACTTACTCTGCTATTTCTCTTTTAACCTGGACCTTACAATAAATTCTAAGCTTGACTGTCAACCGTCAGCAGAACACAGGAGAAGATAAACTATTTACTAAATTGCTAGATTTCATTAAGGATACATGGATGAAAACACTACAGCACGGAACAGCCAGATTGTATCTGCTGGCTTGTTTGTGATGCAAATTTATAGACTGATTCAACTCTTTTTTATACACATAGGTCCCAACAGAAAAATCAAGCTCAAATAGGTAGCAATTCAAGCTTTTCACAATGCAACTATCCCAGACTTCACTCACAGTAAGCAACCATTTCCTCTATAAACTATCTCATGGACTTTGTTCACAGGAAGCAGGGCACTACTCTTTGTGCTTACTTTATGGTTTAATCAGGAGAACATTCAGTCAAGTAAACATTTACTGACTTGGAAGAATCACTTTTGTGGTTTCAGAACTTCCCCATCCTAGTGGGGAAGGGGAGCACTAGCATTCAGAGGCTCTAAATGGCAGCCTATTCAGCATCTCCAGTTCAGCTGAACGAAATTTCCTATGTAAAATTATGAACCTCTTGACTATCAGTCCCATTCTTACCCAGACCTATCCAGAGTATCTTACCGACAAATTAAAGCGTGTAACCGAAGTTCTCTGTAAGTGCTTTACTGCTGTGTTAACATGTACAAAAGGATCCTGGAAAATACATTGACGGGGTACCAACACACTTATTATACAGCTGACTTTCAGAGAGACCTACCTGAATACATTTGAAGTGTATGTGATGGTGCATATGCAGTTTTGATTAGCTTGCTTAGGAAACACATCCATACAAAACTTTCCCTCTCTCCATCACTCCTCCTTTCCCTCCACTCCTTCCCTCTGCCCAGGGAGCTTGTACTCTTTTTTAAAAGGGGTGAAGCAAAAAATTCTGCAAAATTCTGCTAATGAAGTTTAAATAGTCCATGCATATACATCAATTAAAATTAATGTCCAATAAATAGGTAACTGATTAGAGGTCTGGAAAAAGTTCTAGTCCTAGAATGAAAAAGTGCTTGTGTATGTGTAGGTATGAAGGTTACCTCAAGGGTGGTTGAATGAAGTTGGTTTAATAAAAAAAAAAAAAAGTAGAAAGTAATACAGGCACAGCACAATAATCATTGCCAAGATAGAGAAGATTTTTTGCCAAGATTGAATGGTAAGAGACTCATCTTTTTGGAAGTGGGGAGAGATGGTGGTCACCCTGTCTTATTAAACAGCTATCTCAGGCTATCAGTTATACTCAGTGACATCCAGCTTGCCTTATGAAACCATGTTCTGCTAATTCTAGTAGGGGTCCAAGCAAAACACACAGTTGTATCTTGCTGGCCCAAGACCAAGCTGGTATTATAGATAACTGAAAATATTTGTCTTCCTCAGGTGAGAGGAGGGAAAGCAAATTTTGTTTAACCAGATAAATACTAAACTTCTTGGTATCATCACTGGGATGAGGAATTATAGGATCTGAAAGAACAGGCTTTAGATTTTTTTTTTTCCTTCTGGTGATCCTAGAGTTTGCAGTTCTGGAAAATCTTGCTGACTCTTAGCATTCCACATGAGGTTTTACATTTGGTTCCAAAACCAGCACTTAAACTTTTTCCATCTATTTCTGCGTGTCACAATCTCCTGTAATCACTTGTATGTTTTATGAGAGAGAAAAAAAAAAATCAGAAAGTCTTTAAGGTTCTAATATGTGGATACAGTAAATGAGAAATACATATAGCAAACAAGAAAATTGCTTAAGTTGGCAAATTGCTTAAGTCACATTAAGGTATTGTTATATATGGGTTTGAGAGATAACATAATGCTGCATATTCAAGAGTAGCTAGAGATTACATTGCCAACTTGGGTTTGATAGCTTCCAATGTTTTCATTGCTGAGTTAAAATTTGAAACAGGTTTTAATTCCACTGTGTTCCCATTTCCTGATTGTCAGCTAATGACTGCACTATTCCTACATTGGTGACATCAAAATTGCAAGAGATTGCAGCGCATTAGCTGAATATATTCTGATGCTCAGAAAATATAAAGCGATATCTAGGGCTCAAATTTCACATGGGGAAATGCGAAAATATGTAACTGAGAAATCCAGAGTATTCTCTAGTGACTTGCACTAAATGAGTAAATTATACTTGCAAAATCAAGTACTGAAGCTGGAGATTGCTGTTTAAAGGAGCTATTTTTTTTCAAATTAGCTATGTTTGTTATGCATTCATCAAATCCCAGTGCTCCTAGACAGTCTGAATGTGTTGTTGGCATAATAAAGTCTCTAGAGGCTAGAGGGAGTAGACATCCCAGTATAAGTGGGACAGCCTGTTGACTTGAAACACAGCCACCTTCCTCATCTCAGAATGTATGCCAAGGAAGTTCATTATGCTTCCAAAATTCAGATTGGTTATTCACAGGTCCTCTTTGGAAAACTTGCTTTTAAAAAGGAGCAAGAAGTATATAAAATTTCAGTCTGGAAGGTAGAAAATAAGTTCTGACAGATCGAACACCACTCAAAGAGCGGTTGCCCAGCTGGAATTGCACTGAGTGGGTTGGGACACCTCTCGGTTCAAATAGTTCAAAAAGATGTTGCAAGAAGAGCCTAGAGGAATGATAGGAAATCAAGAGTGACTGCCTTTGCAAGGAGACTTTTAGACCAGCGCCATGATGACTGGAGACATCATGCAACACTTTGGCACAGAGGTGAAATCTTCTGTGGGAGCAGTGTGTGGCTCGGCTATGGTCTATATCAACAAATTCAGTTCATTCAGCAATGAGCTTTGAAAAAGTAAAAATATTCACCGTCCCTGAGCAAACTGAGAAATGACGAACAATGTTGCCTAAGGTTTATAAAAAACCAAAGCACTGCTAAGACACAGACCTCGAGTGGAGACTTCCAGTCCATTTCTACTCAAGCTCCTAAGTCACTTCTGAATGTGGATCATGGACTGACAAGATTTGCAGAAACACTTCAGAAAACATCTCAAATGCATCCAAGTTTCATCTCCAAACATAGATTAGATTGGAGCAAGGGGAACAAGACGTATGGATATCACTACTTTCATTAGCAAGGAACATGATAGAAGTTTTCACAAGCATGTAAAAATTTTACTTTGAAAAGCCTGAATAATAAACATACATCATCTTTCACAGATGTTTGTTTAAGCAACATTCATAATATTGAGTTAACCTACAGTGACATTGCAGATAAAAACTAATGATCCAATATGCTTTTGCTGTAGTACTTTTAACAGCGACTTTAACTGTTTGCCGTTATGAACACTCAGATTATTATTGCTCATAATTTATTTTTCTCTTTTTATGTACAGTGATGAAGAGGCGAATAATAATTCTCATTTATCTCTGTTTCAACAGGGGGGATATTTGAAACTGTGGAAAATGAACCTGTTAATATTGAAGAATTGGCTTTCAAGTTTGCAGTCACCAACATTAATAGAAACAGAACACTGATGCCTAATACCACATTAACCTATGACATCCAGAGAATTAACCTTTTTGATAGTTTTGAAGCCTCGAGAAGAGGTAATTATCTCAATTACTGTATCAGTAACGTACATATTCTATACTACCTTTCCCCAGCCTGGTCTCCTTTTTTGCTCTGATTGTAATGTGTATATGAACGGTAACATAAAAATCATCTTTCAAAGTTATTTGAACTAAGAATCCAGCTGGACTTGACCTTGTCATCTAGTTTCTGATAAAACACCTACATCCTGTCTGCATGCTAAGAGCCCCAGATGGAAGGTGGCAAGTCCAACCCATATTTCTTTCAAAAAAACCAGATTTGCCACCTGGAATTCTGCAGAAAATGATCAGAGACTAACAGGGAGCACAGTGGGATGTCACAACCCATAATTAGCACATACACACAGATACCCATTATTCATACAAAATATTTCTGTTGTACTTTGAAGAACAGAGGCTGGTAGTCTCCCTGTCCTGAAATATTAACGCTTCAGTGGCTTAGAGACAGAAGTAGATTTCTCTGTTATAAACAACTATAAGTATTGGAGTGGACAAGTTTGGAAATTTTTTGCCTATTCTTTTATTTTTCTCAGAGGGAAAATTATGGTCCAATTTACTTGCATCTGATTTACTTGCAGACCAAAACAGCAAGGGGAAAAAAGTCACAACTCTCCTTAAGCACCATGTATTCCTTCACCTCTAGGAGGCAACCTTGAAGTTTGATAAAATTTTATATGCAACAATCTAGTTCCTGGAATTACGTGGTGCACACACAATCTCCTGCAAACAAGTCTGGAGAAAGACGCACAAGTTGCTAAGACTTTGCAGATGTGCTCTGCAGTTCACTGTAACGTCTGTCACTGTAAATGGTACAAGATATGCTCACTATAAGGCAAAAGATGTGTCTGCCATGAGGCAAACGAAGGCTGGAAAATAAACGTGCTTCACATCACGAATCATGCTAGAATGCTGGTGAGCTGTCACCTTTCAAGCATAGAAGTTACTAAATTCTCCTTGTGGTACTTTAGTTTCTTACTAAAAACTGGAAAAAAGGAGAATGCTTTCAAAGAACATAACATAAAAAATAGCTTTAAATTGTGTTTATTGCATTCTTTTTCAAGTATCAGATATATGCTGTAATTATATACTATGAAAAATCAGGTATGCTGGATCTATAATTCATGTCATCTAGACTGATACAGGATTTTATATGCTCTGTAGAGTGAGAATCTCTTCTGTGACTATTGTGGAAGTTCCTTCTCTATTTAATGTGTAGGAAGGAGTTAATTATAAATATTTTTTGTAAATCTACATGCAAGGAATCCATGCAGACAGTAGTAATTTCTTGTCATCATGAATTATTGATATTATTTAGGCAATTTGCACATTAAAACCTGTGATCCTTTAGAAAGGCTTCTGAAATAAACCTTGAAAACCCATGCATTTTAAGCTGTCTGTAAAACACTAATTTGTAGACTGAAAACAGAAAATAATTGATTTTCTGTCATATTCTATTACTATCAGAGAGCTAAATATTAATTTAACAAAATCTCAGCTCGTTGTGGATGTTTGCGTACTTAGTATTTCACTCAATCACAGCAATTTCTAAATTTCCCACAAAGAACTACTTTACAAAGAATACAGCATTGCAACTCAGTTGCAGGGCTTTGTCCCAGTCGATAAACCTTATCAGAAACATTTGCAGTAAATTTTACTAATGGGCAAAAATAATTAATATTACTTCATCTTCTGTCTGTTAGCCTGAAAAGACATGGGAGGGAAAGAAAAAAGAAAAGACACCCACAGGAGGCGTTCTTTTGGCTGAGATATAGGCACAAGGAGAAAGAAACCTTTGTTGATACTAGCATTTGACTGATTTGGAAAGGTATTAAAATGTCAGTGTGTGTTGGTTCTTTATTTCCCTGTGTTGTTACTGAGGGCTTTAGGCTTTACTGCCTGTTTTGTAAACACAGATTATGGAGCGCCATGAATCATAGTGCCCTTTGCTGTTTATATTTCTTCAGCAGCCTGAAATTAAAGCAACCTACATTGGTAGAAGCTTGCCAGTCACGGAGGGAATCCGCATAGTGTCTGTTGTGACTCCATGAACATATTTCCTGACACACTGCCATGAAACTTAATTCATGTGATGTCCCTTTGGCAAGCCTGTAGCCAGAAAGCTCCTGGTTTCTCCAGGATAATGCCGTTCTGAGAAAGGCAATTTAGGAATCAATGTGATCTGAAGGTAATGAGCGGAGAAGTTGCTTTGGTTTTTATTTCTAGCAAGCGGGTTCTAGGATATAAAGCTAATCAGTAAAGCCATTTTCAGGAACCATTTGCAAATCTCCCAATGGGCTCAGGAGCAAGATGGTTACCCATTCTCACTTTGAAATGATGGGGATGGATGGAGAATAAATGATCTCAGTAAACATCACACAAGTTTTTGCTAACTAACAGCTTCTTCCTCCCCCTTCCTCTCCTCCTCAGCATGCGACCAGCTCGCTCTTGGTGTAGCTGCTCTGTTCGGACCTTCCCACAGCTCCTCTGTCAGCGCAGTGCAGTCCATTTGCAATGCACTTGAAGTCCCACATATTCAGACCCGATGGAAGCACCCTACAGTGGATAACAAAGATGCGTTTTATATCAACCTCTATCCAGACTATGCAGCCATCAGCAGAGCAGTTTTGGATCTTGTACTATACTACAACTGGAAAATAGTAACAGTAGTATATGAAGACAGCACAGGTAAGTAGCACTGGTGCACTGTAGGTCATGTACTTCTATTAATGTACATATATGAATTAATTCTGTGAGTGAGATTGCCTGTGATAGTTCAGTTTGGCATACTTAACAGCAGTTTCCCCCAGAATATAGAAGAAAAACATCTTGTAAGGTGCAGCTATCCTTCTGCTGCTGTGGCTTTTGGAAAGCTGTTTGCTTCATCAGACCTTCAGAAGTCATCAGAAGGTAGCTCCTGGATTCTGAATATTCAATCATGTTTTTCTCCCTATTTGTGTAACCTATATCATCGCTTCAAACTGATAAATAGTCTAGTGTGGGGCTGATTAGGGATTCTCCCTCTCAATGAGGGGTTGATCTTAAAAGGACTACCTTGTTCCTTGAAACTGTCTCAGAGACAGTCAACCCCCTTGTCAGCTGGATACTGAAGACTGAATCTGAAAGCTGCAATTCATGTAAACATTTCCAGCCCAGGACTCTTAACTTAAAGAAGATCATTCATTCTTTGTGACATGAACCTCCCCCTGGGGCATACAGTAGTCATGGCTGTCCAGCAACATACCATGGACAGTCAATATCTGTAATGTGCCCCTTTTTATCCACAGAACAACAACAACAACAAAAGATAATAATAAACTCATTCCTGGGAACAAGTGATTTAAAGGCTTATCGGAGACTAAGACTTTTTTTTTTTTTAATACACAGAGACTGTGGAAGAGTGTCAATGTTATGAGGAAGTCCAAGCTACTGTTACATGTCTTTATGTATCTAGGCTTTACGTATCTACCCCTATAGTTGATACCATATATTATACCAACAGCGAAAATATTTCTGGCAGTGTCATCTCCCTCACTGGAGTGGGAAAAATACTGTTTCTGAGACAGGTAGTAGCTACTCTGGTCACTGAGAGAACTGTGTACATAAAGTGCTCTCAGAAGGAGTCCCATCGGGCAGGATTACACACAAAAATTTATTCCAGGCATGACTGCAGAGAACATCATCTCTCCTACAGTGTAGACTCAGTCATGGATTAAGAGTCCATAATCTGGATTCCCAAGAAAAATTTTGCATGTAAACAAACCCTTAAAAGCTCAGAGAGGTCTGTAGCTCTTCCATCAAAACACTGGAAACAGGGCCCAAGCAAGGCCTGCCAACTGATTGGCTTTTGCAGGGCACAAAGTTACAGGTAAGGGCACGTTCTAAGCAGCAGAAAAGATTTTCTTGGAGACATCGTATCTGTAGAGATGAAGAAAATTGAGCCAACTGAGTAACACGTACATTGACATTTATTCCACTGTAAACTCTCACCATCATCCTTCAACACTTCAGCATCTTTTTATGGTAAAGGTGTAGCTGAACCATACACATTTCTGAAAAATCCTGTTGTGCATTAGCGGTCATTGGTGCAAATTAAGCAGTTGACTGTCAACCCCACTCTGAGGTTTGCATTCCTCTTTCTCTTCCCGTTGCCCACAGAAATACAGCACCTTCTAGAGCTCTACAGGTGTGCAGGTAACATTTAAGCTGATTCTTTGATAATGGCATAAAACAAACCTGGATGAACCATGAGCTCAGGCATCTGCCTAAGCCTTTAAAGGGAGTATGCAAAAAAAACCCCCAAAACCCAAACATGTCTTTTAAAATCACATTGTAAAAACATGTCTGAAAGACAGAATTCTGCTAAAAAGCCCCCCAAACTCAATTTAAGGCTAAAAATGTTGTATTTATTTCTGCACAGTTGACAATACAAACCAAGCATGTTTCCTTCTGGATCCAAGAGGCAGGTCTCAGTGCCAATGTTGTGCTCACCTTGGACTCAGAGACTACACCAGTGGGCTGGAGGTAGAAGAGAAAGAACAAGCCAGGCTGGGCTTACTGCAGCAGTCTTCTTGCGTTTCCATTACGATGGTCTAGCTCAGCAGGATTTCTGCTGGACTCCTATCACTGTATGTCAATACATACTCATGGATAAACAAGTAGAGGTCTTTTTCAGTCTACCCTATTATCAAATTAGCATTCAAAACACTTAGTGCTGTGTACATGTTCCGCTACAAAAATGGCTGATATTAAAGAGACTTCATTTGCAGAGATATTTACAAAGTAAATTAATCATCAATCATCTTATTAACTTGGAGTTGGGAAAGTAAACAGGTCAACCTCGATCAGTATAAATAGTCTTTGGATTTGGGGTTAGAGTGACGCCATTTAGCTCAAGCTCTTTCTGTTTCTCATCTCACATGTTTGACATTGGTACACCAGAAGAAAAAAAGCATATTAACCCTTTTTTTTTAGAGACTAATTGTATGTGAAGAGCAGCTTCATTACTAAGCAAACAATGAACTCATAGCTGTAACAATGCAATTCCAATGATCCATACCCAGATTATTCACGTTGAGATTAGCCCTGCTCCAGGTTAAGAGTCTATTTTTAAGTTTAGGTGTGGAAAATCCTGCTTTCATCCTTCCCACTACAGCACTGCTCCAAGCCCACATGCCATCACGGCTAGCTCCAGCACAGAGGCCACATACTGTGCCAGCTTGCCAAGCTGTAGTTGCCCAGCTCCTGTAGTTACGATTTTCACTGCTGCATGGGCGCATCCATCAATGGAAATGCAGTTACGAGTCTGGACTGAGCAATGTTAAAAAACCCAGTTCATCTGAGTGAGCTCATGTTTCAATCCAAATCACTTGTGTCTACCCTCCTTACCTCAAACACTATTTACCATGCTGCCAGTTTTTGTTATCCAAATGTTTTTCAACCATAACTTTTTTCCAGTCAATGATTTTGGAATGCATACAGAGACAAGAGCACTACAAATGTCTGAACAGCTTAGCACCAGCCTTCACAGACCTCCACTGTTTAATAAGGCTTTCTCATTGACATCTGCTTTTTCAGATCTGGAAAACGATTATTTTATAGCCCCACATTTTTCATGAGCAGGCTGTATGATATATGAAGATGGACACCTCCTGGTGCAAGTGCTTTACATCTAGGAAGCTACCTGTGTCAACAGAACTTGTAACACCAAAGGCACTTGGTGTGATACAGAGCTATCTTCCCTTCACAGCTTAACATCTCTCTTAAGTATAGTCCCAAGTTTTCTTTTTTCATCATTTTGCCACCATATCAGCCTTACTCTTACCTTGCCCAGCACTTACACTGGGGTCAGTCTTTCTATGTTTTGTCTCACCCTTTCTGATACTGATGGAACATTAGCACTTTTTTCCAGTCTTCTAGAATTCATTCAAGGTTCCAATATTTATCAAGTTAGTTGTTGAGTGTTAGTAATCTACTGAGTGGACTCTATAGGACTGCCAATGATAAGCAAATTTGATATAAGCAGGTCTAGAAAACCTGCAACCAATAGTGCTAAAAATTACACTTGGAATAGGAAGTACTTACTCATCCTGCTTCTTATCAAATATCATGCTAAATGGTACCAAATGCCTCATGTTAAACAACTTTACTGCCTCCTCCAAAAGGACTTACAGCAGTTGTAAAGCTTGTATTTTGTTCCTAAAATAGATTTGCAAAGTTTCTTCATGTTTCCTGAGTTGAGCTGATCAGATTTTTACCCTCTCGTCTCTTAGACTTCAATATAAATAAGAATAATAAAGCACACTATGACTGATTTTTATTTCTAATTGCTGTCCTTACTGTGCCATTGAAAGATGGACTTTCAACCAAAGTCATCTTTCTTGATGGTAAATTAATGACTTCTGGCTATAGAGCAAATATTTATTTAAAAATCTCTCCCTTTTCTCTTTCTGAAATTCTCATCCTGCTCACTAATGCCTCCTTTTTTTCCATATTAAGCATAATCCACATTATGTTCAGAGTCCCCGGCCATAATCAGCCTTCATTCTGATTATTCATTCCTCTCTATTTTTCATCAAGGTGTTAAAAAAGAATTAGTCTATATCAAGTGTGTAAGGCAAAAAATTGTCTCCTGAGGTTTCAAGACGATCTAATGAAGCCTTGCAGTAGACTGCATGATACATCAGGCATACATTTCCCAAACCTAGGTACTATAAATTATGGTTTATCTTTCCATGTGCTAGAACTGGATAGACATACTGTTCTCTGGTTTAATTTAGTGGTTTGTAATAGATCCCTTCCAATATCCCACTTTTGCACTTTGTTATTTGGCACATTGATCTGTAACAAGCACATGACTCTGTCTCAGTTATCAACAACTCAAACAAAAGGAATAACACTGCCTTCAGTGCAGGTTCGAGTCTGCTTTTGATCTATCTTCCCTGAATGCAATAATTTCAACCTACCAGGTGCTGAGGAGGGCAACTACATCAAATTCCACATCTTCTGTAAGAATCCCTGACTTTCCCCACTTGTTAGCCTGCTCTCCCAGCATTTGTTTAAGGCTCAGGGGAACCAGATCTTTTCATCATATCAGTTCAATTAGTTTGCACAGGGCAGAATTTGAGTTCTTACTGAATTTGCTTTCTTTGAACTTGCGCTTACAAGAGACATCTAACTTTGCTAACCTAACACAGTTTTCTAATAAAAAGGAGTACTTTCTCCCAAAGCAGTAAAAGTATTTCTTCAATTTTAAATCTCACTGAATTACCTATACATTTTTTATTTTAAAAAAAAAAAGGGAAATGGGGAGGTGAAAACTTTCTAGTGACACACTACCATGCTTACTGCCAACATGTATGACTATTTGCCTGTCGGGACATTATGTTAGGCATGTTTGAACTCCTAAATGTGTCACATAGAGCTCGCAGTAGTTCTAGACATCATGAAATGATATGAAATATTCAAAGACTTTCGCATATTTTAACATTTTACTGAAGTGTCAGACCAAACCATTTCTCTTGATCAAACCACTAGTTGAAGTTGGAAATCTGACTCCGAGGCTTACTGCATCCATCAAGGTTAGAGACCACAAGATACTTCCACAACAACACAGAAAATTCCCAACCCTATTTCCAAAGGAAAGGGGGAAGGTAGTTAGATGTCTGGGCAAAGGCAGAAAAATACAGACAGTAGGCCAAGAAAATCAGTGAAATAAGTCTGATTTCCACCCTTATAGATTTTGTTTTGAAGCCCTAAATTGAACCTTTCCTCTTGATAGTACTGACTAATGCTCTCTCCAGGTCCTTCACAGTTCATGCTCAGCCACCACATCTTCTACCTGGCCAGACTCTACAACACCTTTCCTACCCAAGTTTCTACTCCAGTGCAGTCCAGCTTCACAGTTCAGGTCACATCACCCACCTTGCACAGAGGGACCCGGTGTCTAGGATATGTCACTTCTGAGCCCTTCTCAGCTTGGCCACTACTTCCTTCCCAACCTCATGGGCTGTCTGGGATGCCTTCTGCCTGTTGCAGGCTGACCTCCAGATGGTCTCATCAAGTGAGAGAAAAGTGGCTGCCCTAAACACTGCACTTGCCCAGGCCTTCTGCACTCCTGCCAGGAGTCGGACTAAACATTTCATAGTTAAGATTGGTCCCAAATCAAGACTTGGTGGTATCAAGTCCGAGGGTTTGGATTTGTTGAGCAGGAAGAAGAGGAAGGAGACCACTGATCATTATTCCCCGTGCTATTATTTTTGCTGGCAGTCAGTTGGTTCAGGCTTTTGCCTGGTCTGCCAGGAAAATGACTGCAGTTCTTTTCACTGCTTCTTTGATTTCTTCAGCACACTATAGCTAGGCTTCACCTTCACTTCACGTGGCGGTAGGAAGTGATGGGAAGTGCAAGGTCCAAGTCTCACATCTGAAGTAGATATTTTAAGACACACAGCATTTTCCTTTCCCCAAAAAGGAGAAGGAGGTGGGTGGGAAAATCCTTTTCTTCTGCTCTTCACCACACTTGCACTTAAGTACTTTTTGTTGTTGGAAAGAGAAACAACAGTACTCATTCTGAGGCTGTGGATACAATGCAAGATTCCCTGCATGCTGGACCTTTCCTCCCAAATCTCAGTTTTCCCTCTTCAGTTGCCATTCATTATAGTGGCCAAGACACTGCAGTCAAGGGCTGAACACTTGAGTGCGTGGTGCAACCAAGCTACAGCTTTACAGCCAGATTACATAAACTCCCCTACTTGTTAGTCAGTGTTGGAAGCATGTGCCCCATTCTCATAATAATGAGCTCAAATTGTTTCATATTTACACAGGCTGGCTTCCAGCCAGGCTCCCATCTCACAGCGCGTGCAGTAATTTACATTTGAATACTCATAATGCTTAATATTCTATATTGATTGTTGATACTTGAAAACCTGCAAAGAACAGACCCGGCATTGCAGGCAGAGGGAAAGATTAGTTTTTTCAAACCCCATTGCCAGTACTTGAGTGAAAGCCAGCAGTCCTCAACATAGCAATCACTTGCTAACCTCAGAAGAAATAGGGATGCTTCATCTTGCCTTATACGTACCATTGGACCATTCAACTAAGGACATTCACATGCAAGACAAATATGTACCCAATCCCAGCAGGAGAGCGATGAGTTTTTTCATATTAATAATTTGTTTGCTTCTTGGTCATGAAGTGCTTCTTGCCTGTGTTCTCTCTCTCTTTATGCGTATTTTTAAGACAGCCTTTTACTTTCGCTCAGCAGGAGATCACAGGAGTTTTTGTGGGTAAATTATATTCATGGATAATGAGAAAGAGATGGTAATGACACACCTCAAAGAACTCTTAACTGTCTTACTTAGGTTTTGGAGGCAGCACAAATTACATAGGAGTGCTGAATTAGCTAGTAGAATTGCACTGTGTTTAAATACTTGGACAAATCTTCCACTGGTTGAGCTCCACTAACTTCAAATAAGCCGTGTAAATCTGTACCAGCTGAAGACATAGCCTTCAAAATCATGTTCTCATGTTTATAAACATAGAGTGGGATCTCAAAATATTTCAGTTCTTTATAAGATCTCAGACTTGCTGAGTGACCTTATGCAAGTCACTATGCCTTCAGGCTTTTTGTTTCTAAACTGATGGTACGAAAAATTTAAGGGTCCCCCTCTGGGGTATTGCAGTGTATGCCAAAATGAGGACAATGAGAGCCATATGGATGGCTATTAAGAGTAATTATTGGTAAGTGCCACTCAGGCTAACCACTGGGCTCTAAGTGAGCCACAACGGAGGTGCTGGCCATTGAACATTTTTCTCCCTCTATCTCCCCTCATCCGCTCATGCTTGACATTAGGCAGGAAAGTTAGTAAGGAGGCTTCTTCAATTCTATGACTTGCTGTTTAATACTGAAATAATAATTAGCTGCCAAGGAAGAAGTATTATATCCTTTTTTTAATAAGCTGTATCAATATAACATCAATACAAACATATACTGTAGTCAATCAATTGAAAATACACTTCAGAATATTTCGATGTTGAAGCAAAGTATAACCATGAAAGTAAAAGCTGTAACAATGTTAGTTAGGAGTTTGGCAAATATGAAGGTAACAGCTACCCTTTGGGTATGTGAAATATGTTGAGACTGATAAGAGACCCTGTTTAAGTGACAATAAATACTCATTGCACAGAATGGTTAGTTGTATAATTGAATGTAATTTTTCAGGTCTAATTCGCCTGCAAGAGCTCATCAAAGCCCCTTCTAGATACAACATTAAAATCAAAATCCGCCAGCTGCCCTCTGGGAATAAAGATGCCAGGCCTTTACTCAAGGAGATGAAGAAGGGCAAGGAGTTCTACGTGATATTTGATTGCTCACATGAAACGGCAGCAGAAATCCTTAAGCAGGTAAGGGGAAGGGGGTGAAAAAGCATGACATCCATTTTGTATCCTGAAAGTTGTCAGCCTCTCTGGTTTTCATTTTCTGGGAAACACTAAAACTGAATGCATATACCAATTAGGCCATAGGCTTGTTAATACCAGGGACAGAAGCTGTTACAGAACGTGCAGCACTGAGCACTCTACAAGACTTCAGGGCTTCACCAAGCCGTAAGGACCAGCAGCAGTACTGATGTTTGAAGAGAAGCCCATAGATATCCAACAGAAGGAAGTATGCACTTCTTTTTAATACTTCAGGTTCTGCTTGACCAGGAAGGTTGTTGCATTTATTTTAGCTTGTCCTGGTTTAATCAAGAGAGTTTTTACGTCTTCCCCACAAAAAACAAAAGACCCCATTTTTGAGTGCTTAGGGAGCGGCTCACATTGAGCTATTGCCTCCAGAGAGGCTGCACATCAGGGCTCAGTGCTGACTATGGTAACAACAGGGCATTAATCCACTGCAGACAAGAGCATAACTCTGCATTCACATCCCTGCAACAAAGCAAGATTTGGTCTGCTGGCACTACCTCATTACATTTTAAACTCTGGTTCAGCAAGAAGATGGAACAGAGACAATATCAGATGGAAACATATAGTTTAAAAGAGGAAGAGAGGCTATTGTGCAAGGGCTGACATAGCCCTGACCTAAGCATGGGAGTTGGACAGCCACACAAGGCAAGGACAAACACCACAAAGCCTGATGTTAATGGGCTGGGACGTTATCAGGGGCACACAAAGAGTGGTGTAAATTAGAATTTACTGTTGTCACTTGCTATATATTTCTAGACAATCACAGTCTGAAGCACTGGTTCCTGCAATTCATTGACCTATAGACAATAATTCCAAGCAAGCAATACATTGTGAATGTCATTTCCCTTTTTGCTGCGATTGTAGATATGAGGAGTTGTTGTTTTTAGTGTCAGTTGGTCTGATGGGAAACACTGATCCCAGAAGATCACCAGAGAGGTTCCACTGATCTAAATGAACAGATATGGGCTGTCCCATAAAGGTTAAACCCTGTTTCCATCCCAGAATGTTTTGCTGAAGTATTTAAGTTACGTGGAGTAGCATTCTGTACCAAAGTAAGAAAGACAGCTTACAGGTCGCATTAGTCTGCAGAGCCTGAAACCATCCTCTCCCCACTGGAGAGTCTTGGTTCTGTAAATACAGACTTTGCAGGATCGTGTCCTAAATCAGATGCACGGCAGCCAAGAGCAGCGCACAAGTTACCATAAGCTAGTAGGGTTAGATTTACCAGTGTCAGGAAAGTTGGCTTGTACTAGATTTTAGGATTTTCTTGGTGCAAGTTATATCTATAAGCTACAGCAGGGCCAGGTGCAGGCGTGGTGTTGGGAATGTGAGGGGAGAGCAAGGGGAGGGTGAGCAATCACACAGCTGCTCTCTCACGTGATGGGGAGTGCACTGTAGCAAGCGGCATTAATTGGGAAGGGGGGTGGACAGGAGAGCTGCTGTCCCCTCACTCTGCTCCCTGTAGGGCTGTCCAAAAGCATTAAAACATGACAGCAGGAGCAAGCTGCTCCAAAATGAGATCTGTGTGGGAAGAGTTAAACTGACAACACAACTTTTCAGTGATCTGCAAGAGGAAAGTACAGATGTCTGGCACACTGCAGGAGGAACAAAGCTTCAAGTATACCAGGCTGAGTGCGGGGAAGAAAAAAAATAACCTTAGCGTCAAAAGAAGACGAGGAAGTGCTAAAAGATGCACTAAGACAGGGCAAAGTGGCAGAACGGTTTGTGAGGGAAATGGATCAGGGAGACAAGTGACAGGCTGCAGGTACAGGCAGTGCTCCCCTGCGCCTTAAGAACTCAGAGAAGGACGGCGAGTGGCAGTGTGGGGGAAAGCAGGAAACTGAGGAGAGGTACACCTGTGGGTCAGGGCTGCAGGAAAGGAGGCACCGTAAATATAGGCTAGAAAGAAAGGAAAAATGGCTTTTATACAAGAGAGTTCTGTGGTTGAATCTAGATGCTGGCAGCAGTAATTCAGGTGTTTAAGTTCCTCACTGTCAAAGGCAGCTGTGAAATGTGAAGGTGTGGAGGGCTCTGAATTGCCATGGGACTCCTCTGATTGTAGGTTAGCTAGATGAAGTACCATGGTTCACATTCTCATCATTGCACACACAAACAGCTGTATAATTTTACACTGAATGAAAAAAAGGTATGAAAGAGCATACTGTCAAAATTATTTTAAGAAAACTGCAATGTTAGTAGAGAATATTTTTGACTTTGTAAATGATTGAATAGATATTATGGGAAAAATACATATAATTGTTGAATTATATCAGATTTCTAATAGGAGTAGTAATCAGAGCCAACTGTTACCTAAACCTGTCCCCAAAGCAACAATTTCTGGTCTGTCTACTTTATTTACAATAATGTAGTAGAGTTTAGTGGCCCATGCAGGAGAAGATAAATAAGGGAAGTGGAGATTTGTAGTGGGTTGGGTTGCGGAGGGTATTTTACAGATTAAAAATGCAGCGGGGTCACACAGGGACATACCCACCATTGCTTATGCTCGGTTTTTCTGTCCTGTTCATCCTCCAAGCCTGCATAGGCTTTCCCCAAAAAGTTTTGCACAAGGGGTTTGCATTTCCCTCCCTCCAAGCCCAAGGGTTCTTGCACCAGGATCTGCTCCATCTCCTTTGGACAACCTCCGAGCCCGGGTGGGCAGCATCCCTTACCTCCTTCAAGCCTTGCCTATGCCGGGAAAGAGGCAAAAGACCAATTCTCACCTGCTCTGGCCACATTTCCCTGCTGGGAGGCAGCAAGGCATACTGCCAGCAACATTTCTGCTGCCAGCCTGCCTCCGAGCTGAAGGCACAGGCAGGGCAGAAAAGCTGCTGCCCTTCTTCCAGTGGTTCCCCGGGCCACCGGGGTTGGCAGCAGCAGCAGCAATGGCTCTGCAAGCAGGGGCTGCTCGCACCAGTGCTCGGGGGACACTGGCTGTGGCACGGCTTGTTTCCCAGGAAGGGAGGGCAAGGGATGCCCAAAAGCTCTCTCTGGGCATGAAAGTATTAGCACATCCAGAATTATGTCCTGAAAGAGTCAGCATATGGAGCTGTGTTTGGGAGTGTGGAGCTACCTGACTCAGCCACATTACCAGGCTGTGGGACTAGGGGAGGTGACCTCTTCACTTGCTTCCTTCAACCTTTTGTTTACAAAACAGCACAAAAGACAGATTTATTCTCTTAAACAAGACTATGTTTTGCTTATTTATAGCTTCAACTAAAATACTATTGAGCCACACTTCTTCCTTGTGCACAACAAGAGCAGGCAAATCAATAACCTAATTTAAACAAAATACAAAGCCTGCACACAGCTGAATAACCTATTCCCTAAACTCACACATTTCCCCTTCTCTCTGACATGCTGCAGGGAGCCCGACCAGCTTAATGAGGCCTGGCCCTCTCCTCACCCAGACCTGGAAGGAGCAAGAGGAAATTGTGATTATTAATTGCTGCCTTTTCCCATAGTCACTTTGAATTTTCTCTCCATATTCCCCCATGAGGGTTGGTAACCTCACGCGATTGGCACACGGCAGCTAAGGGAGTTTTCCAGCTCTGTTGCTTGTAACAAGTAACCACCCAAAACAGCAGCTCCGCAATGACCAAAATGACCTGACCCACAGGGATCAGGATATTCTGAAATTACTTGAACCGGGAGGTTATGCCAGCAGGGTTTTCAAACAAGACATACCACACCAGCAGAGCTGATGGAAAAAGTTGCAGCTGGTCTGTCACTCCCATAGTCTACCTCAAAATCTTGGCTGCTGGAGCTTTAAATCACCCGACAAGGAGCAAGATCTAGTAGAGAATTAGATGCCAAAAGCAGGAGCTAAGTGCAGCTGTGGCTTCTTAGGGTAAAATTGTGATCTCCGAAGTCCCGCTCAGGATCTGTTTAAGATCTGTAGGAACTTCCCTGTTTGACTTCAGCGCTGCCTGTCCTGCTCTGCTCTGAGGGTGCCTGACACCTCTCTCCTTTCTAAGCCTAAAAATAGATATCCCTGAAAAAGCGTGAGATAAGGCACCCTCCAAACTTGCCAGAGACCAGCAGGACTGAGTCCCTTATACAAGGAAGTTGGAAACACTTTCTTATGGAAAAATCTGGTGGTTACAACATTTACCTGAAATCTGGACAGAGATTTGGTGCTCTGTCTAGACTACGTAAGCAATCCCACAAGTCAGTTAAATCTAACTATTGCAGACTGCAATCTGTTTTATTTGTGCATCTTCCAATATATCCTGCACATACTGTATTTAGTCTGCCTTTTTGTATGAGGAACTTAGTTCAAGAGGTTAAGCTGTTCTGGTTAACCTTCAATTTATTCTTCTAACACACCAATGGTTGACATAGATTTTACTGTTAGGAAAGCCTGTCTCTCATAAATTAGGTTGATATTAGCCTTAATTTAACTACTCCTTCCTCCACACCTCTAAAATAAATATTATTAAATGTACCATAAATATTATGAAATGCACTGTAAATTTAATCAGGTTTAGGACACTCGCAGAGCATTTTATACAGACTTCTATGTTCACTTTCACTGTGTGACAGACAAAAAGCAAAATAATTAGTTCAGTTCCTACAGAAGTACGAAAAGTGAGTGTCACCACAGTATACATTCCAGGTACGATAATAAATGTGAGAAGATAAAACTTCAGTTCCTGAGAATGCTCTTTCTAGTAACTTGACAGGTAGGCTGAAGCCCACCCTCTGCTAAGAAAAGGCAGAAATAGCTCTGTTCTCACTGCAGCTGGAGAAATAACATTGGCAGATCCCCCCAGATGCCCCCAAGCCCCAGGCTGAGAAGCAGAGACACACTCACCTCACTGGTTATCCTCTCTCTTATTGATTTTACAAAGGGGTTGTTGATGGGGGGACACCCTCTTCTGGCCACCTGGTTACTGCTGAATGGCATCAGATGGTGAGACAGCATTGGTCCCTAGGGCATGCATGGCTTAAGACATCAGTAAAGACCATGGGCACAGAAATGGTATGGCAGGGGTAATTCATCCTGAAATTTGCCAGTGTGCTTCAGTTCCCAAATCTAAATGTGGGTCTCTATAGAAATAAATGTGGCCATTGCCTCGGAAGCTTTATCCTGAGATTTGAAGATACAGCAGCATGGGGTATAAATCAGAGAACAGTCTTTTGGGATCTTTGCTGTGTAACATCATAGCCGCACTTTGCCGAGACTTCCGCTTCTCTATTCTTGTTAGCTGTGCTGTCTAGATGGAAGCAAAACTAGTCACATAAACCCAGTGCCTCCCCATGCTACATCTTGCACATGTAGTTGCTCTTTGCTTCCTTGCAAGATTCACTGGGTGGTGCAAATGCAAGTAAACTTTCAAACTGGAAGAGTGCTTTCAGTCTTGGTAATGTGAGATGATGCCCATGCTGGCAAGGCAATGCTGCTGCCCGAGCTCCCTGGGACCTCTTCAGGAAGCAGAAGGAGCCAGTGACAGCTGACTGGGACCCTGGGCCAACACATTTGTCCTTCCCTATTGCTATGGCCCTTGCTTCCAGCTGGACTCCAACACTAGCGAGGTATTTACAGAATATATCTTGTTTCTTGCCATGGCTCGTGTCTGTGTTGGAGGAACTCTATACCACTCCTACTAGACTGCTGCTGTGACTGAGCAGGGTGCAGTTTTCCAGTGGGTTAAGTCATGTCCAAGTAAAGCTGTCCACACAGACTCCAGGGAAGTTCTGTAAGCACCATATAAACGTTTCATATTGAACACTTGAGAGGCAAGGAGGCAGAGGGCCTTTTATTTATTATGGTGTGTCTTGCTGATCTTAGAAAACAGCAGTAGTACTAATTAATTGAATAATCAAATGCATTCATTTAATCGTCATGAAATTAAGTAATAGCATGAGTGAGAAAAATCAAAGTGAAAGCAAGCAAAGTATTTGATGCAGTTCCCACTGATATGCTTCACCATCATTCTGGTTTCAGTCTGCCTTGAAGGAAGACTGATACTAGCTCTAAATGAGGCGGTGATTTTTTTGCATGATGAAGAAATGGAGGTTGAAGCTGGGATATGATGCAAGTCAGGAACAGGGCACCCAAGAGACATGAGAGAATCTTTTTATTCAGTTTCTGTCAGCTTGCCATATATAATTTGACCACTGATACTTTTTCAGATTCACACTGCAGTTCACGACCCACAGCTAAAAGTACAGGTCTGTGAAAGACAAGGCCCAAAATTCTGATCTGAAATAGATAATTAGAGATGGAAGTCTCTTTATGTTATGTGCCAAGATAATCCATAATCCGACCACATCTGAGTTGGGCTGAAGAAGGGGTTTTATACAGGGTAGGATGGGTAGGAGATCTACAAGGCAAATGGAGAATATTTTAGCTTGCTTTCACTAGTTTACATTCATCTAAGTTCCACAGTAAGTAAAAGCTGTTATTATTTAAATAGGGCATTTATATCAGATGCATAATTATCTAAATAATTACATGCAAAGTTATTTAAATGGGAATGTGTAATGAAATCTCATTCTAGTTTCTTATGGGCAACTATATATACATAAATCGACCTTGTTGCCTTCTCTTCTCTCTTCTGGGCTGCTGTGCTCGTTTTCTGTAGTGGGGAGGACACTTGCTCTGGGGGAAGAGCTTGTGCAGCTGCTTTGCAAGGTACTTCAGAGGTATCCCGACCTGAAAGGAGTTTTTGCTCCTAACATGCTTTTATTATTGCCTAGCTCCTTGTAGTTCCTAGAAGCTGCTTTCCCTGTATCTGCTGTGTTGCAAACACACAGCAGAAGATGAGTCCTTGCAACTCTCCTATTTATGCTAATAAGAGCATCCAAGTAATTAAGGCTTGGGAGTCATTAATGCTTTGGGATCTCCAGCATGATACTCAGCATTCCTCTTGCTTTTGCTTTAACTTATTTTCATCTCTTGTTTTCCTAATACCACCCCTCAGAATGGGAATTTGGTACTGTCATTAAGTCATCATTCATTGGGAATTTTACTTAGTGACCATGTTACCCTAAATCATAAGTAAGTTATTATTACAAAGTCTTTTCGATCCATGAATAAAAAGCATCCTATTTAGGTCAATCTACAGATCTAACTCAGATGTCACAGTGATGTCTAAGTGCTATATGACTGTTAACTAATTATCATCCTTAATGACTGTTAGAGGGGAGGACAACCGGTTAAGGCTGTTCTTGTGACTGACGGTAAGTGAGAGGGCAGAGCTCAGTGGCAGATCAGGGCCCAGCCTGGGACAGATCCAACATTAACTCTTATTCCTTAACTAGACAAGAACATTATTAACGTGTGCGGTGCGTGCCACTTAAAAGCTCCCTTCCAGCTGTCTGTATCTTCATATCTTAATTGAATCATTGTTAATACAGAAAATACGAAAGAGACATGTTGATTAAGCTTTCCTGGGCTGCTGTGATACTTTCTTTGGAAGAATTTCACCAAGCATCTCCCACGGAGCTCTTGGGTGCAGGGTCCTTGGCAAATCCATGGCACCCTTCCAGCAATTGCCATCGTGAACCTGTGTCTTGGTTATGGCAGATGACATTGCTGGCTGAACCTTGCTTTTTACATGCAATTGCCTTTGGTTTTCAGTGGGCTTGATTCTAGTTTTTTTTTTTCAAAGACAATCCTGTAGCATGACTTTTGAAATCATTATTATTCACGGGTATGTGTGTGTCCTGCCAACTCTGTTTATAGCGCATTACTTGGGAATCAATACTTTCATAAAAAGTTTTAATCAAAAGTGTGTTCAGGAGGCACACACTCCTCTCAGGCTACTACCCTGGGATTTGTGAGGAGAGCAATAACTGGGCTACCTCAGATTAACTAGCTGGTTACCTAGTAGCAGTGTAGCTGCAGCAGCACAAGCTAGGTAATGCTTCCCAAACATCCAGGCTACACGCATTATGATCATTCCAGTTAACGTATCTGCCTAGTTAATGTAAATTTGATTTTAAGGCATTATATGGCTTAGCATTGTCCTAGTTCTCCATTGTCTTACTACTTCTATGCAGGCAGATGGCAGTTTATATTTTCAGATAACAGAAGTGCAATGACTTGATGTCAGCTCTTTGATCTAAAGCTAGAATTAAAACTGTAATGAATCAATAATTTAAATCTGGGTATTCGTATCCTCCCATTTACACTTACTAGCATGAACTTGCTTTCATACTAATGTAACACCATGGACTAACTGCAAACTTCCTGTAGAGGACCAAATAAATTTAGGCATACAGAGGATTACCTGGGTTTAAACCGCTTGGTATAACCTAGCAGCTGGTCTGTGCCCCATATCAAGCAACTGGATTATTTCAATACAGTTTCAGCTCAAAAGAGTCCTGCATCATAAAAATCCTGACTGGCACCTCCTTCCCATAGAAGGGGGCTTAGACACAGAAATCCGGCAGCTCCAGGGAGCAGAACTGAGTCCAGCCAGGTCAGCTGGGAAACACAGCACGCAAAAGTTTCCATCGATGCTATCATATATCATTTTCTGTGCGTAAATAGGGAAGGAACATCAGTCTCCAGGATTGCTAGATTGCTCATTTCTGCAGGTAATAAAATAACTGTAAGAAATGGAATAGAAGGGGATTAAAAAAATAAGAAATAAAAAAGGCAATTTTGACATGTAAATTTGGTGGAGCATTTCAATAAAATACGTGCCTTCTGGCTTGATTTTTAGTGGCTGGAAATGGATTGGTTGGTTGTGATTAACACTGAGCTGTTTTTTTTTTATCTACTGCAGCTTCGAAAGTTTAGGTTCTTTCCTTTTTTTTTTTTTTCTGTGAGGAATTGCAATACACAATCACACAACTGATTTTCAGAGGCTTTTGCCATGAAGGAGAATTTTGGCAAGCCAAATCACACTATTTTCCCTTGCCTTTCAAAGAGCTATTCAGGCACTGCTAAAAGTGTCCTAAAACACTATTAATAGCAGATGCTTACGTTACTGTGATCAAGCCCGAATAACATTTAACCTTTGTCTGCGTTACTGTTGTGATAATGAATTCTTCAGTAGTTCCACAATTCCTCTTCCTCTTCACAAGATCCCAGAGAGGGCAAAATGCTTGCATCATGGTAATGGCGTGCATGGACGCAGCGACAAGCGTAGGTGATGCCAGGCTGAAACTGCAGAGCACCCCATTATTACACACTACCAAGGATGTTTCATGTTAAGCGTTGCCAATGATTTTCGGAGAGGGGCTGAGGGAACAAAACACATCCCTCTCGAAGTTCCCTGCAATGTGAAGACTTGGGAAGAGAAACTTCATCCTCTCCCACCCGAGGTGGCCAGTCAGTATGACTTTAAATGCCATCCTTACCTTGCAGGCCTTCAAAAGGTCTGACTCTGAAAAATTAATCCAGACCAGGAATCCTTTCATACCAGTTGTTTTGACAACCTCCTGCAGAACAGCATTCCCCAGGCAGAACAAAAAGCATTCATAGAAGCTTTTTTTCTTTTTGCTTTTCTGGTTTACTTCAGTGAGCCCTCACTGAGTGTTTTGCTCTCAAATGATAATGCAGAATTAAAAAAAAAAAGCACCTAAGCACTTTTTCCTACAAATTCCACTGTATGCCAGTAAATCCCTTTGTAACACTTCTAAACTGCAGACTAAAGAATTTCACTTTTAAAAAATCAGCTCCTCGTTATTGATAGTCATTTTTCTTGTCCTAGAAGTTTTGCAATCTTTAATCTCTTTCCTGAGCTGAGGTGATAAAAGCATAATTTAAATACAATATGGTATTTTTTTGCTCCTGAAGAAAAATGTAGGTTTTATTGTAATCAAGTTTTCATAACCTGCAATGCATTGTTCCGCATTAACCCATGCTTTTCAAAAGACAGTGCAGTCCACTGAAAGCATCCAGCATAAAGTACATTCACCTTTCAACCTCTTTCAACAGATTCTTTCCATGGGAATGATGACCGAATACTACCACTACTTTTTTACAACACTGGTAAGGAACATTAAAGATTTGGGGGTGAATTTTCTCTGTTGCAGAAAAGACAACTAAAAATTTACACTTTTTCTAGGAGATCTTTGTTGCCATTATTCAAGGAAACCCCTGGAGAATGAGTATTAACACTCCTTAGTAATATCAGGAGTCACGATTCTGTAAGGAAGGTGTTTTGTAGTATCTGTGGGGCTGGATAACACTTCAATACGATCAAAATTAATCGCAGTATTGTGTTTAGGAAGAGCCATGGGTACAGGTGGATCAGAGCGAAATAAAATAATGAATGAATGGCTTTGCAGTGGAGCTGTAGGCAAGCACTGCGGGCGGTGCAGTTCATCGCTAAAATGTTTCATTTACTTATAAAACCATAAAATCACATATGTATAAAATCATTTGGGAAATTTTATGGTAAAATAAAAACCCCTACATTTTCTTTTATGGTACAAATCTATAAATATTTACTTCAGCACATTTTTCCTATAGTTTAACTTACATGCTACATATAAATGTAACTCAGTCTATGCCTAAGGTCCATTTGCATTGTAGACTAGAAAAACAGCAAAGAACCAATATTGCTAGAACAATCCTAGAGGGCTGGGTTATACCTATTCATGTGCATCAGCTTATTCTTTATTTCCTTTCCATACAAAATTTTATGTGGAATTGAAAAATTGTTTTGAATCCAATAGTCAATTCATTAGTCAGGAAAGACTCTCTAGCTATTTGGAACTTGAAGTAGTAGCTTGAAATAGTTCTCTATCTTTGTGCCCATTTTAACATGAAGGAAAATGTGAAAATTCAGGATTTACTGTGGAGCTTACAGTTTTATACAATAGCAGTGAATCTAACATAAAATGGTAACCACCATCAACAATATGCATGAGATGGTATAGAGTAGTAAGCAGTGTTGGTGGTATCTCAGCATTGCGATATTGTAAATGTTGACATTTTGATGGTTACTGTGGTACTAAACCATGACCAATGCATTTGTCATTTTACTGGCCTGCCAGGATCAGCAAAAAGTTGTTTTGAAAAAGAGCCTTCAGGCTTTGAAAAGCAGTTATCATATTTCCACTGCCTGGTAAATACAGCTGTGGAGTGTGCCACACAATTATATCACTTAGAATATCCATTATTTTCCTGCCCTGTAAATGCCGAGCACTGAAGTGCATGGACTCACTGTGCACCGGCCTGACATGTCCATTAGACATAGTGGCAGCAAGTCACCTGGAGGAAGCAAGGCAGGAGAAAAATGGGATTCATAAGCAGTAAAAGTGTATTGCTCTCGACATCTCTTGGAATTTTCCTTCCCAAGTTGAGAAATAAGCTTGACATTGGCTGGCTAATTCCTCTTGTTGGTTTGTCAGAGCTGTAGCACTGTTAGAGGACTGCTATAAATAAAAATTAGATACTGCTGTGCAGAATGCTTGCAAAATAGTGTTGTTGTGGGGAACTGATTTTTATGTTCCAACAAGGCACATATGTGGTTTGTCATAAATTTCACACAGCTTTGGTTTATTCAGATTTATGACGGAAGTGGTCATGACTAGGCTTTGAGGGCAAGCAGTGTTCAAGGGAAAAAAAAAAACCAACCAGCACTTGAGTTTTGGATTGAAAATCAAATACAATTTTGGCCTAATTGTACCTTCCAAACATTTTGCTTTAAAATACTACATCTGGTTTTGTTTGTTTTCTTAATGGTGATTTAGGATCTATTTGCATTAGACCTGGAACCCTACAGATACAGCGGAGTAAATATGACAGGGTTTCGCCTGCTCAACATCGAGAACCCGCAAGTTTCATCAGTCATTGAGAAATGGTCGATGGAGCGTCTGCAGGCACCACCAAAACCAGAGACTGGCCTCCTCGATGGCATGATGACAGTAAGTGAACGACCACAATGATGCAGGACGTCTACAGCGTGCTTCGCGATGCTGTTGTAGGGGGTGTGAACCAATGCCATTACTGCTTCATTTCACAATGCAAATGCTGAAACAGCAGCCCCAAAACAGGCTTCCTTTTACCTGCTTCTACCCAAAAGTGCATTTGCCCCATGAACCAATGTGCTTATCTGTGTGACAAACCACTGTCGGGCAGCTCCAAAGATGAGTGACAATTCTCCATCACGGTGCCGTCCAGCTAACACCATTCACCGTATTGCTGTCACATGTATATACTGCTGCCTCATTTCTCTAATAATGCTCTGGATGGAGTGAGGAACATAACAGGAAATAAAAACTTTCAGAGCAGGTAGACGATTTATAACCTGCAGGGAAAGATATTGTACATGTGGACAGGTAATAACATTTTTAAATTGGAAAAGTGCCCTTTCTCTTCATTTCCATCGTCTACAGCAACGCTGGCTTTTAAGATATACTTTAAAGATAAATGAAAGGTATCATCAAACCAGGAAATTAGGATTTCCTCCCTATCACTCCCCCAAGAAGTAAAGGAAAGAATAGGAACAATTACATGGACAGCGTGACTCCATTCAGTTTTGCGGGGTGAAGGGTTGCCATCTTTTTGCAATAGAAGATAAAGTATCTTATGTGCTGAGTAGAGTTCGAAGTGATATGAAATAGACTTTATTGCAGATGATTGCAGGGAAAATTTTGAAATATCCTAACATCCCGAAGCGAAATGCATTATGTGTGCTATCTCTAGCATTTAAAAAAAATGTTGCTTCTCTGGGCAGTGCCATTGTGCTCGCTCATATGCAAAGCCAAGGAAAAAGCTGTACCTGGGAACTTCTGATGGGAATACACAAGACCTGCGAGGGTAGCTCTTCACACACAGCTATTCACTTGCATTCACCCGACTGTAAAACCAGGGAAAACGAAGTTTGTGCTGGACTCTTACGCTCGCCTTTGTGTCTGACTCTTATCATCTCCTTTGCATCTCTATTATCTCTTGGTGTCCTTGATGCTCTGAAACAGCACAAGCACCAAGGAGAGCATCTTTCTAATTGGCTGTGATCATTTAAGTATGCATAGCAAGTTCTGCTTTTTCAGTTCGATGGAGACTTGCAATGCTGTTTTATTTCATTAGACGATAGGGCTATGACAAGCTGCACAGTGTAAGGAGATCAGGATTACATGTCCTATTGTTAACTCAGGATTTCTCCCTTTGGTTCATGTTACAGTGTTTGCCCCGATGTCAACTTGTGGGAAGTCAGCAGGGCATAACCAAGACAGTTTTGAGTTCATGTCCTACTTTATGCCCAAACTGCACACAGAGGCATAGTTGTTCTAATGAGATCTTTGGGTTTCTTTGCAATAATTTAGCTAGAATATGAAGATCAGAAAATCAGGTACCAAGGCTAACTTTTAGTCCCTTTCTTCCTATGCACAAGTACAGACATTAATATAAGGCAGTTTACTTAGGAAAATGAGGTGACCTTATGTTCTTCCATGCAACCCCAAGCCCCAAAACAGAACACCAGTGAGGGGAGAAATAAAAGGCTAGGGGAGGTAATATAACCTCCCAGTTGCTGCATGGCAGGATGGATGAGTAACAAGTTACAGAAGCACAAGATTCAAACAGCCAAGTCTGGCAATGCTGCCAGTAAAAACACTGTGGGATGCACCATGCAATCAAGTAAAAGCGTCGGTGGTCCCAGACAGGGGTGCAAAGTGAGGTGCCCTGAAGCATTTTCAGCAAGTATCTCCAGAATCTCTAGGCCTGGGGGACAGACAGACTGGGCCTCCAGTGATCAAGCAAAATTCGATCCTGAATGGACATGTCCCCAGTCTAATGTAAAAGCTAGTCTGAAGTCTGTTGGCATTGCTGGGAATCTTTGCATTGATTTTGAGGGATTTGGGATCAGGCCTTTATTCTCCCAGTCCATATGGAAGAACTATCTGTTTTAAGACACTTGACACTGAGAACAGCTGCTATTGTCTCCTCCTGCTTGCCTGACCACTTATAATGTTTTCAAATTGCCCTGACTGTGGGATCATCATTTTGGGCAGATCCTGACTAGCGTATCAAGAGCGATTCCGCATCTGCAGGATATTAAGATTAGTTGATAAATTCAGATCACATTTGATTGCTAGCAAAAACCTCCAATGCTGATAAGACTGATGCTGTTGTAATTTACTTAGGTAAATGAAACAGACAAAGAATCAAATCTATTAATTTCCCAAAGGAATTGCATGGGAAAGGAATAAAAAATGGATTAACTTTGCAGTTCATATAAATGAGTCCAGTTTCTCATCTGCAGAGCTAGTACTTTTTTTTAAGGTCCCTGCTTAATTATTCAGTAGCTTGACAAGAAAGGTAAGCACTTCAATTTTACAGCATCCCTGTGCATTAAATGAAATATGGCCATTCCCACACCACACATGGGAGCACTGAAGCACAATGCAGGTAAAGGCGAGATTTGTCTAAAACTTCCCAGTGATAAAGGCTGGCAGGGTGTGTGATCTCAATTTGAGGCTTATTGGGCACACTTTTAAACCAATAAACCCATTCTCAAAAGAAACACAAAAGCACAGACGACATCCAGTAATTTTAGTAATATTTAGGTATCTAAGGGCTGTATTCATCTGCCCTGTCTTAGACAACTAGATGTGTAAGTCCAACTTAATCACAAAAAAAGGCAAAAACAGGACAGTTCATGTCTCTCTAAGACAGTATGGGAGGTATGGCAGGGGAACAGCCCTAGCCAAATCTTGGTGGGGCCATTTCACACATTTATCCCAAAAGCCAAGATCCTGGAGGGCAGTAGACACTTGGAGACAGTAGATGCCTGTCTGGTGGGATACCTACCAGATGCTTGGTGGGATTGATTTCCCTGGAAAGCAGGGCCTGCCTACCCCCCGGGGAAGAAAACAATCCCACAAGCGTCATGAGAAGAGAGATGATGGGGAGCTAGTATGGGCCCCACACAGGCAGCCCTCTTGCACGCCCCCATGCCATGCCACCATGCCGTGCCAACCTGCCAGCTGGGCAGAGACTGGCTTGAGCTCCTGCATGGTGCTTTCAAATGACACACCTGGAGGTCCTGAGAGCCTCTGGCAAATCCCATGACGAAACTGTAAAAGACTGAGTACTGCAAAGTGCTTGGCGCTAAGACACGCCTGGAGGATGGGACCTGGGCTGTTTTATCACCTGAGACTTCTTAAAACTCTTCTCTGTGCCACATACAATCCTTCCTGTGCTGGACCCGTCAAACTCCCTGTTCCTGTAGCTACCCAATGTAGTTTTCTTCCCAATGCTCACCTGAAAATGCCCTGAAATTAATATAAGCTGCAAAAAAATGGATATTGTTACCCCTCAGATTTCCATGGAGAGCCTTTTCCATAACAGCAGCCCAGGGAAACCATTCTCAGCAAAGAAAAGCGGAGATTGGGCACAAAGATATACATTAAAGGAAGTCTTTCTGTTTTTTCATGCAGACTGAAGCAGCTCTGATGTACGATGCTGTGTACATGGTAGCAGTGGCTTCCCAGCGTGCCTCCCAAATGACTGTCAGCTCCCTGCAGTGCCACAGACACAAGCCGTGGCGTTTTGGACCCAGATTTATGAATCTGATAAAAGAGGCAAGTGTAGACCATCTGCTTATGGTCAGCATAATCCTTCCTTTCTTCCTTACTGCACTGGTTTGTGTTGTTGCTCCGTGTACCTTGTCATATGCTATGCTCTGGTTTCTGGCACTCGGGTATCCAATTCTTCCTCACCCCCCTAGCAGAGAAATGCTGATTTACAGACACAAAGCTGTGGCTTGCATTCTGGTGGAGACTCTATCTGGTCTTTCAAAAGAAGAAACTGCTAAACCCTGGGTGTGATAAAATCTCAGATTAACACACCATAAGACTTCCCAGGTTTCTTGCTCAGTTAATGTTTATCATTTCTAAAAATATGAGATAACTAACAACAGCCATTCTAGAAATTGAAAGAAAAGTGAGTCTGTAGCTCTGTCTTTGTTTCACTACTTAATTCCAATTGTTTTGCAGATAGTTTGATCCGTAATCAATATCCAGAAAACATTGCAGCCACTATTTCTAAAGAAGCAAATTGCTTCATGAAGTCATGCACTGTGTCATAAGAATCTATCGCTGAGCTAGCTTGATCCACAGATGTTCTAAAAAATGCACATTTTAGCTGAAATGCCTTAACTCTTCTAAAAGATCAGTTTTTATTAGAATTTCAAATGGAAACTACAGAAATATACAATGGAAATTATGTGGAGTAGCCAAAACATACTTAATCTTTTCCCCCAATTCTTGTCCATGACAGTGTGATTCCTATCAAAGCATTCCTATCATTAGCACTTGTGTAGGTGGAACAGGACTTGTAGGCTGAGGTACAAGGTAAGTGGTGGCAGCATGTCAGGGCATACACCTGAATCCAGAAATATAGTAGGAGCAAACTGAAAGACAAGACATGTGGTGGTTACAGAACATGTAGAAGAGCTGTCATCACCTTCTCAAAATCTTTCCAAGTAAATTTTTTAAAATTCCCATAGGCTATAAACAACATGGTGACTCACCTACACAGAAAGCATTGGAAGTTATAGAAATGGTACTCTCCACATGGGGTATTCTATGAATTTTAAGGTTTCCTTGTAAGCTTCTCTCTTTGAAAGTATAAAGAAAAAGCAAGAGTTACCCCAGTACTCAGGGACCCAACTTAAGAATTAAGGAAGCCTTGAGATACTTTCCTCACTGCAACACAACCATGGGAACAGCCAGAGGAGTCGGGGAAGCAGCACTGGTGAAGTGTCTCACACTGACATCAGTCACACTGCTTCCAGCTCCCCCACTGGAAAGGAGGTGGCAAGGCTGTAGCAGGAACAGTAAAAGACAGGAGAAAATTGTCTCAGAAGTGTCTGTAGTAAAGATGAACTTGTCCTTCCCTCCCTTCTGATTTGATCTCAGTGGGAACCCTTGACTCTTCTACTTCTCAACCTCAAACTAAATGAGGTAGCGTTGCTACTCATACAATTGCTGGTGCATTTTAAGAATAATTACAATGGACCTGAAAGTTAGCAAAAGACTTTGTATCAGTGAACGCACCTGCGTAATTCTACAGTGGTGACCTACTTATTTTGAGTGATGCTAAGTATATAGCATAAGGGTCTTGAATCCTAAGCCAGAAGAAGTACTTTGACCAAGAGTACCAGACATATCAGCAGATCCAGTTCAAAGCTGAAACAGTTATGCAGTTCATGTTTATCATGTACAGCTAGCTTCTCTTGCACGGAGTGAGATATGTGAGCTAATTCCCAATCGTTTTGCAGATAGAGTCTTTCATGGTCAGTAAACACTGATTTAAATACTCTGAGTCTTATCTTGCTGATTCTGTTGTAGCCAAAAAAGGTGGTTGTTAAAAGTAGAGAATAAGGTTTAATAAGACAATATTATATTTCCAGGTGTTGGAAACTAAATAGCAAATACATTTGGACCTCCCTAGTTCATGTTAGGATCTGGTTTGCTCAACAAGGATAGACGAAATTTATAAATTAGGAATCAACTTAATAGGTATGGAGGAAAAAAGTCAAGCAGACAGAATGATAGATTGGGCCCACATAAATACAATTTAATTTTACTTACCATACTTTGTAATATAGTACTGACCATCTATGAAAGCATTTTATAGACTGGTCTGAAGACAAATATTCTGTACTGAAGTCTAAATAAACAACTTTCAGACAAAAATGTTCCCTGCAGTGAGTCCTGAAGGTGCTAGAGCTTAGCAAGTACTTCAATGGTTCTGCGGTGGGTTTTTGCATTTTATTTTAGTGGTGATAAGAACTGCAGTCATCTCATTTGCTTTGTGGGCCAATGCTGTAAAATGCCAGGCTGATGGTAATAGAAAGGAACACAGAATCCACCTGGACGTGAGCAGAGGTTAAGGTGGAAAGCCTCTGACTTGCATAGCAGCTCATAGGCTGTTTCTCTCTTCACTCAGCAGATGGCAAATGAATTTTTTCCAGCTTGTCAGTGTCCTGTTGTGAAAACAAGGTTCAGGTCATATCTGGTCCTCTGGTACACATGCATTAGCTTCTTCCTGAAAACAACTGCAAAGTGGACATCCTAGGGCAAAATACTGCCTTTTGATTGACGATGATCTGAATGCATGTGCATTGGAGTTTGTTTCTGAATTTTCAGAGTACATGAAAACAAAAGGTGGCTAGTTTAATGTGAGAGTACTCCTCTCTTGACCTTAGGACTTCAGATAAGTCTACCAGGTAACAGCAGTAACAGATCCACTGCCTATTTTTCTTAATGTCCAAGACCTGAAGTGCTATGAGCAAGGCTATAGGAGAAAAGCACTAGCAAAAATGTCTGAGGCTACAGAATAATCAATTACAACAGCAAAAAGAGTAATGTTCTGTGCTCTAAAGATCTCATGAGCTAATGATGATTGTGGGAAGCATCTGGAAATTTGCAGAGAAAAGTAAGCCTGACCAAAGCCCCCCAGCCCTGAGGATGGCTTTGAGGTCAGAGAGGTCATCAGCTAGTTCTTTCGAAGGAGATTACATAAAATACACTGTCTGGGATCAAGACTCTTCTACAATAGCTCATTAAGACCTTTTTAATGAAAAGTAAATCCTTGTCAGAAGCTTTTGTGTCTCAGTGACCTAACGTCATTCATATCTAAATGATATTTTAATCTTTTAGCCCTTATGGAAGCCTTTGCAGGGAGTACATCTTACCAATGCCCAGAAAGAAAAAAGGAGGCCATTGTCTCTCTTCAGAGAGGGAATAGGGAGAGAAAGGATGATTCCACCTTTCCTAAAAGGAAAAAAGTGTGTAAACATGAAGGAAGTATTTATAAATGAATGATCAAATTCCCTGGTCGTGTCCCCTTTAAAGCATGAGATAAGCCCCCAAATAATGATTGTCTGCTATTCAATTATCAGCTAAACCAATGTGAGCTCCCCTCACTCAAATCTGGTAACAAGTAAAAGAATGCTGCCTAGAGAAGGATTTCAGAAGGTAGAGATGCAGTCTTCATTTTGAGTGACTTAATTAAATCCCCTCAAACAGAATCACAGACACAAATCTCAAAGTTTAAAAGAAATCTGAAACATTTACATGTACATTTCAGTTTGTGTTGTATTTTTGACAAGATACATTTCAAGCATGTCTAGTTAGTAGTGACAAGGAGTGAGAGCAATCCATCTAGATTCAGCATCGAGTAATTGAATACAGCCTTCCTTTCATGGTGAGACATTAAAAGCTCTCAAGAATCTTCTGAGCTGAACAAGTTCTTTATGTAGGCTAACGTAATGACCACAGAAAGCAGCAATAAGTGAACTTGGTCACTCAGGCGCTACCACGTCTGTAAAATTTCCAAGCCTCTGTCTCAACTTGTTTGTAATAATTCTGAGTGGAAGATGCCCCAGTTAGATTGGAAAGCCAACCTTGTTCGAATGCCTTCAAGCTCAACACACTCTTTCTTTGGGATTTATAAAGGGTTTTCCAGCCCTCTGCCAGCTGATTCTTATATCTACAAGTAACAAGTGATATGCCTCATAGAACATCTCTGGCCTGCGACAAAGACAAGGATTAGTAAAATTAAGTCTCTGAAGAAGCCTGCTTAAATTCTCACATCATGTTTCATTGTTAAAGGTTTAAAATGAGACCTTAATTTAGTTTATTTGTATACAGGAAGAATACTGTAAATATTGAACATATTCTACAGTTTTTAAAGCATCTAGCACTGCGTGACTCTGGTCTGTGGATGACACTCTGCTGCAAGAGGAAAATAAGTTAAAAAAAAAAGACATATCCAATCCTTCCCTCTACAAGAGGGCAGCAACTGGCTCAGTATCAAGAAATTAAATTGTTCAACAAGGCCATCCTTATTATCTTACGCTGTTATTTTGCCTGGTTTTTGAAACCGTGATGATCATTCAGAGTGTGGTACTCTGTGTTCTGCTTTCATTGGTTATAAATGTTTTTATTTCATGTTTCTTCTTTACAAAAAGAAAAGAAAAGAAAAAAAACCCCTTATCTTACATACAGAAGAATGTAATTCCTGGAATCTTTTTTTCTAAACTCAAGGCATTTAAGCAAATGATAGCTTTGCTCTGTAGAGGAAGAGGCCTCTCCATCAGCATAATTAGGAAGACTGGGAAACAGGGAAGAGTGATAATTTCCAGTCACCACAAAAAGAGCTGGGAAGACCTGCACCACAGGAAAAAAGTCCTGACAATCCTCTGAGCTGAACCACTTCTTCATGCAGACTAATGACCATAGAAAGCAACAAGGTGGGTGGACTTGGTCATACAGGGACTGCCACCATTGTATATCTTTCAAGCCTCTGGCTCAACTTATTTGTAATAATTCCTCCAAGTGAAGATGATTCAGTGCGTTAGTCACTTGCTAGCCCATACTTACCTCCAAAACCAGCTGCATATCTACCTCACCTGTGCTGAGAGTGTACAAATGATTTAGAAACTCCTGTCTGTCCTGAGGTATCTGCTATAAACCCACTTATTCTAGACCTGGTTGATCTACAATAAGAAAGTAGTAGATTTCTCTGTTTTCTCACATTTTTAGTGCTGTTTTGCAGCTCTCAGATATTGGGG